AAAAAAAAAAAAACAGAAAAAAAAAAGTCAAGTTTAGAGAGATTTGGATAACAATGTATTGCACAGCAGGGCATCAACAATCAAAAGGATGCATTGACTTCAATACAGATTTTCATGATATGGAAGATCAGAATCAAACGACTCCAGGTAGGTAGGGCCATGATAATCAGACGATTTTCTATAAAGATCAGGAAATTAAATCTAATAAATCTACTGGCAACAGATAGCAATTACTTATGTGATCAAAGATGGGATCAAAGCAACTCAGAAGCACGAATTCAAGCAGCAAAAAAGGCAACATACGATTAATTAATCTCAGAACTAAATTTGCTGGCAACATACACAGATCGGATCAATTAAATGCATAAAAGATGGGATCAAGCAGTTACATAAAGCAATTAACTATCTCAACTCAAAAGCACCAAATGCAAACACCATAAAAGGCGCAAAGGACATTATCAAGCTCGGCCACGAATCACTCAGATTACCAACAAAAGAATCAAACTTGTACACTTTCGATATGCAGACGCACGAATGCACCACAAACACACAGATCCAAACAGAGCTCGGCGAATGGCGTCGAATCAAAAAAAAAAAAGCAAAAACCAGGAAACGGATCGAGCACACATAATCCAAAATTCATAAAGCAAAACTAAGTGAAATTGAAAAAAAAAAAAAAATTGAAATTAAGATCTCAGCTCACATTATTCTTCTCCAATCACGCGGATCCCTGATCCAGCAACTGAGTGAGAGTGATTAGATTCAAAAGCTCCCTCGCAAGAAGAAGATACAGGCAAAAATTTTACGAAAGAGAAAGCTTGGGGGAAGAAAATTTGGAAGAGATGATTGGGAGCGAGAAGCGAGGAGGTACAAGCAATGAGTTGAACCTATATATACACACATTAAGCCTGCGCTACCCCTAATAAAAACGCGCCTCGTGCAATTTGTAGGTAGCTATAGGAGAAGAAAATGTTGGGATATTTTCATTCTAGTAGTTTTTTCTTTTTCTTTTTTTTGGATAGCTAGCCACAGTATTCGAAACTATACCCCGACTAATTCGTTGGTTGACCTGGATCGCACATTAGCAGTGGTGGGTGAGTCTCCCAACAAAGGTTTTCTGCATCCACAAGGACTCGAACTCGAGACCTTACTTAAGCGACATCAAATTGTTTACCACTTGAGCCAACATATTTTTCACTCTAGTAATTAATTATTTTTTTTTAATAGTTGCATCAACATATATTCGTACACGTAGTTTTGTGTATTAATCGAACGTGTTTTTTCAATCGTCGGATCAATATACATCCGTGTTGATATTTGTGTGTGTTGATCGAATCATAGAAAACTCTTCGATTGCAGAAAGAAGAGCTTTTAATAGTCGGATCAATATGTATTCATCTCTAGTATTTGTGTGTGTTGATGGAACGATATAAGACCCTGTCAAGTGCAATAATCGAGAGGAATGAGGATCGAAAGTCATGTTTAATTATTAAGTTTTTTTTTTAATTTTTAGATCGATATACATTATTGTGGGTATCTGTGTGTGTTGATCAAACGGTAGAATATTTGGTTAATATTTGAAACTTCAACTAGCGATTTTTCAACGATTTTATTTGTGCAAAAATGATGATTGTTTATAATTTATTTCTCTTTTTATAACCATCAATATGAATGTTTGAAATTCATATAAATAACCATCAATCAATTTTATGTTTGAAATTCATATGAATCCTAATTTGGACATCATTAATTGTTTTTTACTTATTAAAAAAATCGATAAATTGTTATTTCATATTTTATTATTTCATATCACTCTATAGTTATATTTCTATTGTGATTTCTTATTTATTATTATTATTATTATTATTCTTAATATTAATGAAAAGATCCAATAACATACTTAATTTGTATTTTGTTTGATTATTGTTTTTCCGAAAGAAAATAAAACACGTATATCATTCATAATTGTTCGCCAATGGGTGCGAAATTCCTGAATTAGCCTTTGACCAGAAGGTGACATGTTTAGACGAAAAATAATTTGGTGAGAATTAGTGAACATTATTAATTTCTTAACAATAATCATAAATATAGTGACAAAAACTTTCATGTCATAAACCGTTGAATTACTGGTCATTAACGACGACTTTATATTTTGTCATTATATGTGTCGCATTAAATTAACTACTAATTTAACGACTTTATATATGTCATAAAAATCATTCATTTATTCGTATATATTTAACTACTATTTTTTATTAATTCATATTTTAGTATTTTTATATATGTCGCATTAAATTATTTTTTATTTTTATTTTAATATCCATTCACATTTTAAAAGTAATAATTCACTCATCCTACAATTTTTTTTCTCTAATTTGTACTTTTGTTTGATTTTTTTTTTGTGGAAAATGAGATCAAAAGACATATTGAAATGACTGAATTAGCCTTTGACGGGAAGGTGATTTGTTTAGGAGAAAAGGAATTTGGTGAGAGTCCGAGGAGGGGTTAGGTGGACACTTCATGCATGCGTTGTTCAAATATACATATTTATTGAAGAATTCCATTCATTTACATTTACTTGAAATGCAAATCTAGCTGGCGAGTGATTAAAATCTAAATGAGTCGAGCCAAGCTTAAATTCTTGATACTTCACGTCGGACCCAAGCCTTTCTCGAGTCGCGAGCTATTTATGAATATTAACGAGTCGAATTCGAATTTTAACGAGCTGACCTTAACCTTAGCGAGTCGAAATGTAAAAAAATACATAAAGATTCGTATTCTCCGTACTTGCCTCGTTAACTAAAACGAATCGAGGCGAGTCGTGTCCATAAATAATTTGTTTCATTTAACATCTCTTCTCTACTTTTTTTTTTTTTTTTTNNNNTTTTTTTTTTTTTTTTTAAAGAAGATTAATAGTGGTTTCCGTGACAATGTTTTTTCCAGTTTTTCTTGATAACATTTGGCTCGCAAGTATTAAAATATTTAGGTAATGATGCAATTTCTTGTGAGTCATAAGGCACAATTGTTTATTATTTTACAAAAGTCAACTAGGTTGTGCGTTAAATCTGCACTTGGATGGTGGAAAAATAATGGTATATTGAAGGTAACTAGGTAAGTAAAATAAAATGTCAAGCAATTTGCCATATTGGCCTTTAGTGTACTTTGTCTTCTTTGTCAATATGAAGAAGATGACTTAAAGAAAATGAAAAAAAAAAAAAAAACAATGACTTAAAGAAAATGAAAAAAAAAAAACTCAAAATCGAGGCGCGTATTAGTTACGTTACCCTTAAGACGAAATTGCCCCGTAAAATATTCACGGTTAAAGACAAACGCCTCCGAGATACAACGACTTTTGACTTGTATATAGCGGTATTTGGAATATACAAACCTTCGGCAAACAATACTCTTGTTTGAAACTCTCAAGACTCAAGAAAAAAAAAAAATCAAAGAACACAATATGCGATATGATTTTTGAAAAATAATGCAAGAGTTCTTTAATTTTCTATTAATGAATGATTTCATGTATGTGAGTATTTATAGATGTAGAAAAACACCACCAAGACATATAGGTGTCAAAAGAAACCTTATAGTCACCAATAGTTGCGACCTTTTAGTGTTCGCAGCCAGCTGCATGCCCGAGCGGCGCGGGCTCGTACGAGCTGATCCGGACTCAAAATCGAATTTCGTTTTTTCTTACTCGTCCCCAATGAATCCTTCTAGCTTTATAACATGCAAGTTGCATGGTCAAGTCTTGTTTGGATTACTCTAACATTCGTCAAAGACAAATTGTTTTACAAATTCAATAATTTGAGTTACGTAAACTTATTGTTTCAACTTTACATTTCTCACATATGGAACTTAAATTAATTTCTCATTCGCCTAAAATGGTTTTAAGAATTTTCAAAGTCTTCCACTTACAGAAAATAGAATCGTAAAATTAGTACAAAACCAGTTTTCCTTATCGTTAGTTGATGCAAATATATTTCACTGGATGAATTTTTTTTAGCTACCAAATAATGTGAGGCATGTGAAGATGTTATCATAAACTTATGCATGACGAGTTTCCAACAAAAAGGTTTAAATCATAATGTATATCGATTATTTGATAAATTATGTATAGTTTGACTTTTAACTTTTAAGTCGTGGTCCCTTATATTAAATTGCCTGTTGGAATTTTTTCCTTTTCATATTTCTATTTATATCTAACAGTTATTATCTTTAAATATTGTTGGGCCAATACCCGCTCAACAGGCAAGTAGTCGTCGGACCACAGTTTACAGAAGAGGAAATTACCTAGTGCACTTTACAATACCTACTTTATTACATAAATGGGCTCCATGGATATTTATTTGCAAAGGTATTCAATATATACATTTTATTTACAAACGTACGTGAACATTAAGTTGCAAATTAAGATTACGATATATTTGGTAACCGTTTTTTAAGGAAGTTAATATTAATTAAAAAGAATAACTGAATCCATAAATTAAGTCATTATCAGTTTTCATTGTCCGCCCACTCTCTCCCACTTCTCTTCTTTTTCTTTTTTTTTTAGAAACCTTGAAAAATCTTGATAGATGGCGAAAAAAATATCCACAGGAGGTTGATTTAAACTCTTCGAGCAGTGCCGGCGAGACCACAAGTACGGTTGATTTCACGCCTCCAACAACTCCAAGCAAAAATTGTTAGAATCATGGCACATAAAAAAATAAATTTCGAGAAGAA